AAATCATATTAAAATTATAAATATGGTAAAGGTAGAATCTTAAATAAATATCTTAAATAACTTTTATATAACTAAATTACTTTTATACCTTTATTTATTTATTTTTAGAATTAATTATTTAAGGTATTATTTAATGAGATGTTTGGTCCTCCCTCCCCCCCCTCTCTCTCTCTCTCTCTCTCTCTCTCTCTCTCTATATATATATATATGGTATATTTCTTTTACAACCTTGTGCATTTGTACAACCTTTGCAACCCAATTAATTGAGATATTTATRDRAATRATTGGAGTTCATTTATTATGATTTGAATATTTATGGAATATGAATAGAGTTTATTAATTATGATTAATACTTTATATTAGGAAATAATTAATTAATTAAAAATTGAATGGTTGAGATGAGGGTTGTATAGGGTGTAGGAATGACAAAGTGTGTAGAATAACATCCCTCTATGTATGTATACAAAAAGGTATACCATAAAATATACATATTCCGAAATCAATACTGTAATTAAGCAATCGTTATTAAATTAGCCGGTTAGGAAGGTTTTAAAGGAAAAAAAAAACATAAATAAGTTTCACCAAGTTAAACCCTACATCACTAAAACCAAACACATCCAACACCATCTCCATGAACCTTACAGAAGAAATCACAGAAACCATCGCCGACTTGACCCTGAAAGAAAGATCCACCTCAACTACAAGGCGTTTTTTACCATCACCCTGCAAAAGCATGGTTGATGCCCCTTGCCGACCCTCATTACCCCATTGTCGTCTACTCTCTTTCAATGTCCATCACCGTCGTTGTCCCCTGCTATCGATCTATCTCTTTTTAATCATTTTTTTCGATACTTCCTCTTCTTTGATTTGTCTATATATACTCTGTTAAATTGTTATAAAAAGGAAAACCAAAAACAAAAAAAAAAACAGATAAAAAAGAGGGTGATCGATACCAGTGGTGTCAATCGGTGGTATGGAGAACAAACGACGATGAAGCGACAAAGGGGTGGAGAGGGGAAGAGAATGATGTTGAATGCAAGGGGTTTGAATAACGTAGAATTTGAGAACAATAAAACTGGTAAAGACTTTCCTAGCTGGTTACATGTAGTTTTTTTTAGGTTAAAATGATGTACGTAACCAATTTTCAAAAGTTTGATGGTTTATTTATTCAAAAGAAATGTTTAAGAACTTAATCATCCAAAATATAAAAATTCAATGGCTTATATTGTAAGACCCGAGTTTTAAAAACACATTCTCATTAACTTACCCGAATTGTACCGTATTTAAATAACAGTCGTTAATTGTTAAAGGGTTAAAACCATCAAATTACTAAACTTATTATCATTATAATATAATATAATATATAATTATATATATATATATATATATATATATATATATGAAAACAAAACAAAAACCATATGCATCGTCTTCTTCTCTTCATCGCCATTCTCTCTTATTTACTCTCTCTAAAAATTTTCGTCTTCTCCCTAAATTTTACGTTAAATCGTTGAAGCAATCGAAGTAACGATTATATATTCGGAATCCACTCTTCGAACSCTTCATAAAGGTATAAATTTCATTCACTTTTATTAGGGTGTTTATGTTAGCATTTTTTAGACTCGTTTATAAATTATGTTATGTCTAAGTTTACGGTTTGATATTGTTAAATGTATGATATATTTCATATTTAGAATGCTAGGATTGGTTTAATTGATATAGAAATTAAAATGGTAGATTATAATTTCATTATGGTTAGATTTGGTGTATATATTTAACCGCACACCAATTGTTCAATATAATGCCGAAAAGAGTAAAATTGCATGATTAAGCTCAGGTTAGCGACCATTGAACTTGTTTTACTGTTTAGTATGTTGAAACATGTTTATAGTACGTAAATGTAGCGAATCATGGAATTTGGATTATAAAAGTTAGTCGGGAATTGCGGAATCGGATTTTACCGACTATGCAGATCCATACTTTGACAGTGTATAACTTACAAACCATAAGTCGTAATAATCTCATATTTTGCAGTTAGAAAGCCTTTAATGCATACTACAACTTTCATGTAGGACCGAAAATCCAGTTATGAATCTAAGTGGCTGGAAATAGTGTGTTTTCGGGGCTATTTGCAATGTATTTAGGATTGATCTGCTGTTTTGTAATATTCGTATTAAATAGATGGATAATCCAAACGAGATGATTCGAAAACCAGTAGTTTCATCGCATATTATACTACATCTTTCATTTAGATAGTATTTTATGTATTGATCTCTAAGTGGGGTAAAAATTCTCCCAAAAATGAGGGTCAAAAGCTATTAAAAGTCGAATCTGAATTATAAAGCTGAGTGTTGCGTCGATTTCTTAATGCATATCCGGCTGTCCCGTTTGAAGTTTAAATTGTTTATAAACATGTAGGACCTATGTAATTTATTAGTAGAACTAGGATATGATTTTACGTCGTTTAAGTAATAACCGATTTGCGCATTCGTTAGGCACGCGAGCAAGTCGAACTTTACCATGAATCTCGTTTGATCGTGTTTATTTCTCTATTCCGCTTAAGGTACGGATTTCACTTTCTTTTACTCTTGGGCAACTAGTTGTTGTAGTTGACCCTTCGTAACGGTGGTTCACCACTTTGTGATTGATTGCTTAAAAATGGTCAATAAATTACGTGTATATATATATATATATATATATATATACACTCTTGAATCTTTATCGTAAACTCTTGAATCTTTATCGTGAACACTTGATTTTAGTCTGTTGAATTGTATGTTTGAATCTTTCAAGTTTATTAAATTGATTCTCATATTTTGAAGTAGTTTCGAGTTTTATGAAGTATTTTGAAGGTTGACTTTTTATGAACGTCATCCGGGTAATGGCACATGTTTAGTTTTTTCAGAACAACTCAATTAATTGGCACATTATTTGGGATGTCTTCTATGCGGCTTTGTAGTCATGGCGTTTTGCAGGTGAACTCGGTCCACAGGGTTAGGCCCAATAGTGGCTTACGTGAACCCACCTTGTGAACTAGGCCGATTTTATTGGCTCCAGGGCAGATGGATCGATCCTAGGATAACCCACCATGTGACCGTGGTTAAATTCACGGGGGACTCGGGGTGTGTGCCCACACGCCGGCCCAATAGTTCGTGTGGTTTGGCCACCCCACGAACACAACAGGAATTGACGGATTGTGTTTAAATTATGTTTTGAAATGAGAATTGTGAAACGTCTTGATTTTCTATGAATTCAGTTTCATTGATTTTTAAGGCTTCCGCTTTATTATTGATGTTACGTATTATTATTTTAAGTTTATATTACAATCTGTTCACTGAGCCCCATGCTCAGCCGTGTTCTTGTTTTCTGACACGGCAGGTTCCAAGTGATTCTGATAAGGGACGGGACTTGAGATCGAGCGTTTGATTTTTTTGGAGTTGGTAAACTCGTTGGTAGATGCATAATATTCTAAACTTATAAATAGTTGATAGAATGTAATATTTTGGATTGTAAAGCATGTTTTAGAAGTTAATCTACGTTTGGAGTTTATTAGTAGCTCTGCAATGTTTTTGTCTTAGAATTAAGTCCCGTTAGTGACACCGCCTGTTCCGAACCACGGGGACGGGGGATGTTACATATACATTAAAAAAAATCAAGAATT